CAACGGGCGGCGGGTGCGCGAGGCGACGACGACGACGGGCGGCGGGGGCGGCGAGGGCGACGGCACGGCGGCGCGGCGGGGGCGGCGTTGTCGAGATCGAGACTCGCGCGCGGGAGAAGTGGAACGAATTAGTGGCGATGATAACTAATTTTTCGTAAGCGTAGTATATACATGATGGGCCTTTAGTACCGGTTGATGGTTCCAACCGGTACTAAAGGCCAATTTTGGCTTGGCCAGCCCAAGCGGCGGGAAACGTGGGCCTTTAGTACCGGTTGGTGGCTCCGACCGGTACTAAAGGGCAACACATTAGTACCGGTTGGAGCCTCCAACCGGTACTAATGCCCGTGCGCTGCCACCCCGCAGTGCGCTACGTTTAGTCCCACCTCGCCGAGCGAAGGGCAGCCGCACTGGTTTATAAACCCAGCCGCGGCTGCCCTTTCGAACTCCTCTAAGAAGCAGGCTTCTGGGCCTAATTAGGGCGCGCTGCCCTGTGAGCCTGCTGGCCCTAATGGGCATGTATTTGCACACCCAAGGTCTGGCAGGCCCACCGGGCAGCGCCCCAACATGTTTTTTATAAAAAATTTCTTCGTGAATTATTTTTTTAGTATATGCTTTATTTTTCTTCATGAAGAAGAGGCCCACCGGTCTGAATTAAATAGTTATTTCTTTTCTGATTTATTTTTTTCTTCTATTTATTTCTGAATAGTTTTTTTTGCTGTATTTAGTTTCTTCGTGAATTTTTTTGCTTTATATAATTTTTTCTTTCTGCATTATTTATTTTCTTCTATTTATTTTTGAGTAATTTTTTATATAGTTATTCCTTTTCTGCTTTATTTTTTTCTTCTATTTATTTCTGAATAGTATTTATTTTCTTCTATTTATTTTTGAGTAATTTTTTATATAGTTATTCCTTTTCTGCTTTATTTTTTTCTTCTATTTATTTCTGAACACCATTTATTTTCTTCTATTTATTTTTGAGTAATTTGTTTATATAGTTATTCCTTTTCTGCTTTATTTTTTTCTTCTCTTTATTTCTGAATAGTATTTATTTTCTTCTATTTATTTTTGAGTAATTTGTTTATATAGTTATTTCTTTTCTGCTTTATTTTTTTCTTCTGTTTATTTCTGAGTAGTTTGTTCTTCTTCTTCTTCCTCCTCCTCTTCTTCTTCTTCTTCCTCCTCTTCTTCTTCCTCCTCTTCTTCTTCTTCCTCCTTCTCCTCCTCCTCTTCTTCTTCTTCTCCTTCTTCTTCCTCCTCTTCCTC